AGGTAATCTGATGCCTGGCTAACTTTCTAAAGGAAATGTCCTGGTTCTCCAGTACAATGTTGGGCTGAATATGGAACTGATTGGGTGACATTCTATAGCTTATATTGAGAGGAGGTCAAACAAAATCGGAAGTGTCCTTCTGTCCCTAAAAAAACAGGCATTCTCTGAGCAGTTTAATATGTGTCTCTTGGATGTCAGATAGTGGTTTTGTTTTTATAATTTATAATGTAGCACTCAAAGTTTGTAGTGGGTTTGCTCAGTTGTAAACACCAGTCATGTAGTCATGCAAGGTCTCTACTCCAGTGTACCTCTATTTTACAACAACAGTTGGAGGGACAAAAGAAAGCAACACCTGTATGACAGAGAAGAATGAGTATAGGGAGAAAATCAGGAGGAAAATTATCAGATCAAGAGCAAATAGACTAAAGGGAGCATTCAGGAAGGGGTTAAAGTGATAGAGCTTTTCAGTGTTAGATGATAAGAAAAGAATGAGTTGTCCACTGTTCATAGTTTGAGCCAACTTAATGAGTAGTGGATGACTTCTGAAACATCAGTCTTGACTGATTTCTGAAGGATTTTTCCTTCTGATGAGTGAAGGAAATTCAGATGGCCTCTCCAGTGGGGCAGTGTGACAACTACGAACACGCTATTGTAGTTCAGGCACTTGCAAAGATATCATTATTATGGAAGACCAACACACAATACAGACAAAAGTCTCTGCCAAGTGTTTTTTCATCCTTTGTGGTGCTTGAAGTTTCATGATCTTCAAGAGAATCTGCTTCAGAGGATTTATGAGTGTGTCTCACTACTTTTTTCAAGAAAGAGATTGTGTTGGAAATATTCCAGGCACAGGAAAAGTGAACAAAAAGAAAATCAGATTTTATCACTAGAGATCAGCTGTAGCTCAGGTTGAGTTTACTATCATTATAAATGGTTTGAGATTTATGCCGGCCAACAGTGCAAACAGCTGCTCCTTGCTATTTCAAATTACTACTATGAGTTTTACTGTTCCCAGACAGGTAAGCAAAGTGCTGTGAAAAATACCAGCATTTCAAACCTGGACTGATCAGATAATGCACATTACTGCCTCAGAGTCCTCTTATTGTCTTTCTTTGCAACCAGCTGGCAACAGCTCTTGGTAACTAATATCATCTTGGTGAGTGTAAGGGCTGAGAGATTCCCAGGGGTACAGAGGGAGGTTCCTTATCCAGCTCAGCCACCAGCTCCTCTTTGCTATTTTCTTGCACTCTGGTCGAGTTCTTCTTTGATGAAAGAAGGATAAAAATCAATTAATTCCTTAACAAGTGAAGTGTTCGCTGACTACACGGGAGTGGCACTACTTCATCTGCATTTTTATGGATCAGTTTTGGATTTCACCTCCTGTTGCAGGGCTTTTGTGGCAAACTGTATATGGTGCTGTAGTACCTCACAATCCACCTGCTGTACTAGCTGCCTGGCAAAACCACTGCTGCTACTGCTGTCAGACACAGTATTTTTGCCCTTTATTGTTGGATTGTTTAAAAAAATCTGACAGGCTGTCACCCAACAGCTAGTCTTTTCACAGATGCCAGAAAATTAATCTCCAGAAGGATCCTTGGGTACATCAAGGATTTTGTAATAAACAACTGTTTAAAACAACAAGATCTGAAAGGGGAAACACTTCAGCAGCAGGGTGAGCGTGACCATGGACATGTGTTCTGTGCTTACCTCTGCTGCATAGCCAGCTTCTGTTTTCCATCACTTCACACGTCAGTGATGACCAATGCAAAGTAAACTCATTAATCCTGCTGCTACAGAATTAAAATCCCTGTGTTGAAATTGCATATTTACCCACATCTCAACTTGAAATAATCACAGTGAATGATAGAACTACTGCTGATTACTTTGTCTGATCACATCCTCAATTAGTGTTAATGCAAATTTAGTGGATAACGTTGAGACTCCAGGACACTGAAGCATTGAACAGAGTGAAGCACAGGAGCAGCCTCCAAGCAGGTTCAGTGCTATGCAGAAACTCATTGACCCAGGGCAAGTCAGCCACATTGCAGGCATATTTAAATACAACCAGAATGCTTATTTCACTCAGAACAGGGCAATAAGCAGTTAATTCTGTGTTACACCCTACTCTCATCATTGCTGAATGAGAAATCCTAGATAGCACTATTGCAAATTCTGATGCTTATTTATCTGTCAGCCAACAAAAATAGGAGGCATGGACTTAATCTTCTAATTTGTAAATGACTAATGAGTTAGAGTGTCCACAATTTCAAGTCTCTCAGAAGATGTGGTTAACAGAAGGTCCTTTCCTGTGAAAGGTTTCCACCTTTTATCTTCCAGCTAATTTTATTTTCATGTTTATTACCAGTTTTCAGGCAGAGTAGCTTTGCAGTTCTCTCAGCCTGTCCTGTAAATAAGGTGACCAGTCAGAGGAAGTCAGTAACTCCTCCTTCTCTCTCAGATGAGTCGACCTTCAGTTTTACGTCTATATGAGATATATGAATGCCTGTGCTTTGGACCAGTTCTATCACTGGCACAGAAGGTGTCATAATTGCCTATAGTAACAACTGCTTCCCTCAGCAGTGTGATGACAAAGTGTCTCAGTGATTTCCTTTGAGAAAGTTTGGATTTTGAAAAGCAAAATCAATTTATGCTCTTGTGCATACTCCCAGATTATGAGAGCATTGTTATGAGATCACCCACAAGAGTTAGGAAACAGATCATTAGAGTAATTCACTCGATATGGTTACGCCAAAGTTAATTCACTTTTCAGCCATGTAATAAGATCCCACAGGGTCATTACTTCTTTGCTACATCATCAAAAATAATGAGATCCATTTTTTCTCAGTTTATGTGGAAATAGACACTGTCTCTTATCATCCCTGGCAGAGTGAAATTGAAAACTGCAGTAGTTCCTTTCTTGAAGTTTTCCAAGGCGAAAAATCATTATTTAAAATGTGAGATTTAATGCATTAATAAAAGAGATTTGAATTGTCTCTCCCTGACATTTGAAGCTTTTATCACTAGCAGGATGTGTAGATGGATGAATAACTGTGATAATAAGATTTCTTATATATTACTTCTGAGAAGAAAAAAAAATGTATTTGTCAGGCTCATTAGTAAGAGAAAAATAGGACACAAAAATTATGCTAAGATGATAATTGATTGCTCTCACATATAGTACAAATCCGTAAGTTTTGCCTATGTACTTGACAAGCACTGTCTTAAAACATGAAGCAAGGCAGCAATTATAAGTTTATTGAAGAGTCTATCAGTTTAGGAAGGACCCTTTGGTAATGATGCACGTGCAGGTACATGTAGCTTCACCCATGGCAAGGCTCATGATTTCTACAGACATTCTATCAGGTAACAGTTTCCACACTACCTTTGGCATATAACTGAACAAAGCCTTTTTCATGATGATTTTAGGGACTTGTGCAAACTTAAAAAAGGATCTGGAGAGTTTAAACTGATGAGACAGAAGATCTAAAGGATTTTACAGATCTGGTGGTAGATGTTACTTTTTTGTCCATATAAAGAATTTGCTGGCCTTTCCTCTCTTATATGCCTTCACAGTGGTTATGTTCATGTGAAAGGATAGACTTGTAATGTTCTCCTTGATTTTTGCACCTTGGCACTTAATGAATTGTTGGGAATTACAGGGAATGAGGGACCATGGTAGCCTTTTACTTCTTATATTTACATAATTAGCCAAAGACTTACCTGGACTATGGTCTGTACTGAGGAAATCTCTGTGTAATTCACATTATGCAGGTACACAGGCCAACTTATTATTTGAAAATATGATTTTCCCTGCTATATTCTTTGCAGCAGACTCAGAGTAATGCTTGTAAAACTTGTGTAATGCCAGTTGATTGCTAGTGAGCATCAACCTTATAGCAACATTACAACCTTATTTACCAGTATGGATCAGCTGATTCACTGGAAATGGAGGAACTGAAAAATACTGATATTTTCAGTTAGGTAAAATGTCTGTTAAAAACAATTTTTTTTTATTACAGCATCTCTCTTCATACCATTTCATACTGTGCAGGACTGTATTCAGGAGCCTACAATTCATCCAAAAACTATATAGAGTCTGACACCATAGTTTATATTACAGAAGCATTCTGACACCCCAAACGCTGTCAGGACAGAGAGAGATTATAATAGTATAGAAAACACAGAAAATCTTTCAGTCTACTTAATCAGACAGGAATGAGGCAGGGGGTGAAGACAACTTTAAATACTTAGAAAATATGTTTTGCCCAGCAAGGTCATAGCAAGCATGAGGACAAAGTCTTGATTTCATGGCTTTTATTTATCCTAGGTGTTGTAAGGTCTAAATTTGGGGGTGTTGCTGACAGAAAAGTCTCCCTTGAAGGAGAATATTATTTGCAGCAACAGAGAAAATCAGAATTTCCTAAACAAAGAAAAGTGGTTTCACAGCAGATCAACTTAGAAGACTCCTTACTTCAGTGCAGGGTATGATTTGCAGGGACTCCATGCTGACCTCACTGCCTCTGCCCATATATGGACCCCAGTTCTTGGTCTAGACATGTGCTATGGGTCTTGCACCCACCAACCCATTTAATGTAGTGTTAGCACATACTCAGGAAGCTGTTAATAATGTGCCCTCTTGGCTTCTCACAGTGCTGACATATGACCTATGTGAGGACCAGAAGTGCTCCTGAAACAGTTCTCTGAGACAACCACACATGGTTGTTACTGTGGTCTTTAAAAGCAACAAATTTACAGAGACTCCTTTTTACCCTTCAGTTCTGAAGAGGAGGTGGTAAAAGTTGGCTTCCTCTGACAAAAATCTAGGAGAAAAGTAGCTGACAGTCAGACCCTTTGGGAAGAAACCATTATATTTCCAAAAGACACTGCCTGTCTCTGTGCGGTGCAGCTGGTGCTTCCCGTGATAACAGTACACATAATTTGAGCACCCAAGATTCCTGAGTCAGCAGCAAGAAAACCTCATGTAAATTTCACTCTTGTAGGCATCCTGTGAAGGAGTCACTGTGCAGGAGATTGCAAGTAAGGAAATCCAAATTTGAATGTCAACTGTCTCCCCCACAGTAAGTTTGCGAAGTCCCATTGAATTTTAGTAAGGTTGTATAAGTTTGTGCTGGTTAAGGAACTGATGGCTTAAAGTTTACTTATTGCACTTCCTAGCTTAGGCAATAGCTGCACATAAAAAACACTCCTTGTATGCCAGCTTAATTAGAAGTGACTCATTTAATGGATGCAGTGTAATTAATGTCTATTATGCCATGCAAAGATCTTATTTCAACAAGCCAGATAGATTTTTCTTTCTCCTATAACTGTAACAGCCTGATTGCATTTGATCAATGTAATAAATGGTACAGTTGTGTTATATAACTTGCAGGCCTTCACTGGGAACCCTAATTGCCTATTTACTAGTGCTCAATGCATCAGGCTTGGACATCCTTGACCACAGCCTTCAGCGTGACATCTCAGCGGAGGTTTACGTGTTCTAGTCTCAGGCTATTTTTCCGTGTAAGTTCTGAATTCAGGTGATTCTTCAAAGAGAGAGAAAAGAATAGTGAAAGCTTACAGTGTATCAAGTCCATTCAGTCTTCCACGTAGAAGGGGAACAAAATCACTTATTTACATATTATTTACAAAAGTAACCTTGGCTTCAAAATCACTCATTTTTGTCAATGTCAAATATAAGGAAAACCACAATGTGATGAGTCCAAATTCCTGTTGGGCTTAAAAGCTAGCTTGAATAAACAACTCACAAATATGGAAGTTTTAGAGGTAGGAGCTAGAAATCCTCTTTTGAATCCTGAATTATAGATTTCTCTCCAAACCTGAGAATAATGCTATAGTTTAAACATATGCTGTAACAAATTCAGAATTGGCCCTCGGTTAGGTTTGATTCTATTCTAATTTAAACTAAGGAAGGAACAGCTCTTTTCAAGAAATTTCATTGACATAAAAATAGTAAACCCAGAAAAAATCAGATCTTGCTGTCTCCCAGTATTTTACCTCAATTCAATGGATTCAGAAGTATTTCTGGCAGAGTTGAAATGTGAAATTAGAATAACATGAGGAACTCCTTATTTTCAGATATGAAGACAAATGAAATTGTGTAATTCATGCAAATCATAAACCACCTCTAAAGTCTAGAAGATTTGACAATGAAGAAAGTGAGGATATTAATGAATAATATGTCTGAGCAGAACAGAGTATAAAATGAACATGTATCAAGGTTATAAATAATAAATAATAAAGTCAACACAAGTGTTATCTTTAGAACTAGGATAAAAAGGAAAATATTGAAACAGTCATATAAACATACATAATGTGGAAAAGAAGGTACCTCAAGTTGCATATGCTGTGACAGCTCAGATTCAGATAGCACAAATGACACTTAATTGTATTAATTTTCAACAATATGATGTTTTCCAGTATTTAAGGACAGCTACTTTACAGAACTTTGATAGGATGTTCTTGTAGGCATTTCCATCTTTATATTGTTCATATTAGATATGCTCAATTTATTCTCTCTAGGTATATTAGAAAGCATTTATCCTTAATATGCATAAGAAGAACTTTTTGATCTTTTTTATGGCTCATAATAATAATCTCCAATGTCATGGTTCTCCCTGTAGACTAAAACAAAAGCCTCAAGATTTGAATTAATCAAGGGTTTCAATGTTCTTGTTCTCACCAATATCTGAGACTTTTTACTTCCTTATAATTTTTTACTTCCTTTAATAAAGTAGAATCAGAACCAGAATGGCCGCTAAAAACACTGCCAACAATTGCAATTTAATTATAACCACAGTCTTTGCTAAATAGCCTATTCACATTTGCTTGGCAATACTAGCAAAATAGGCAGCTCTCCACAGTGCACAAAACCAAGTGGCTTCAAATCTGATAATAAAATTTATTGGTAAGGAAGCTTCTTATCTCTGCATGAACATGACATCCATTCAATTGACTTATCAATCTACTTTCCCCTAGAGATAACAGAAGAATGTATACAGACTATAACAGAAACAGATTTGGCCTTTTGAGTATGTAGGCTCTTGCTAATACAAATTATGATGGTTTGCTGGGGAAAGGACTGGGAATAGGGCGTCACCTGACTATTTCAGTCAAACCTGTTAAAGGATGTTACGAACAAAAGAGGAATCCACTAGAATGTGTACAGTCTTGTTTTATATAGTGCCATAACTGTATCAGTTGAGTTTAGATACTCAGCTTATTTTGTGTCTTTATTTCTCACATAAATGCACATACTTAATGCTACAGCTATAACTCACTGTGTAGCAGAGATCCCATCAGAATTGAAATCTCAGTGCCAGTCACCTGCTTCATTTATTTCTTGCTGTGAGCCTAATGAGAAAACAGCCAGACCTACCCTGAGAAACTGAGAGGAGAAATATCACTTTTCCAGAGGTACCAGGAAATTCAAACTGTTCTGAACATGGGAGACAGTAAGAGCAGTTGAACTATCAAAAATATCATTGTGAAATAAATAATCATCTCATTCTCAGTGTGATGGGCTTAGATTGTGCATGTCAGAGCCACAGGAAGAAAAAAAGGGAATTGGGCAAAAACTTACTCAAAACCTTGTGAAGTGAATTAAAGTTTATCTAATGGTCTCAACGGAAATTCCATTGCAACCCTTTTATTCACACCTTCCCTTGTGAGCAAAATTCTCTCAGAATAAAGTACACCCTCAAGGTTTTTTACTAACTCCTAAACATGTGGCAGAATTGCTATCCAAGAGATAAATAGCACCATGGACGATCATTTTGTGAAGAATCTGTGGTATCAAACATCACTTTTATGTAGGGAGGTGGACATTAAGATAATGGCAAGCTTTGGTTGAAGCACAAAAGTGAGGCAGCAGTTCTCATTGCTCAGTGGATGTGTGTTCCCTTTGTTTGGATATTTCTTTGGTTTGTGCAATCAGTAGAAATCATTGTGGGAAGAGGTAGTTGCAAAATTATTTTATAATAATAAAAACTAATTTATAATCATAATAACAGTCCAGTTAAAATCATAATCATAAGAACTAACTTATAATAATAAAAAATTGGATAATGTTTACTTATAGCTTTTGTAGAGCACTTGAATGTTAGTAAAAGTTTTAACAATTTTTGATCAGAATGCAGCTTCTTTTGGTCAAGCACAAAATACCACAAGATAAAAAAGTGGCCTATATTCTTGTGGTGAAGCCATTTTCATACTGTCACAGAAGATTAGTGATAAACTGCTCTGTGTTTATGAGTAGTTATTCTTGGTTAATTCAGATACTCTAGGATTGTTTGGAAGGTTTTATTCTGAAAAAGCATCGCCATATGCTTTTTACAAATACATTATTAAAAGCTCTCTAATGGTTCCCCACATAGGCCAAAAAACTGGATCATAACAGAACTCTCTGAATATAGACAATATTAAAGAAATGCTTTCTGATCCAAATCTGGGGAAGTGCAGAGAAAAAATAAAATTAGGATATGCTGTACTTTTGACTGTTAACAAAGTACTGAGATTTTCAATACTTAGTTGCAGTTAGTGTAGATTATCTTTGTGTGTCCCTTCCAACTGAAATCTGTTCTGTTCTATTCCTACTGGTATATGTGAATATTGGTTTAACATGGGAGGCACTCAGACACTAGAGAGACTGGTGGCAGCATGAGGTGCCAAGACAACAATTGTAGCACAGTTGATTTCAGAGATTCTTGGAGAAAGCATTTTTCATATCCTGTCAGTGTCGTTGTTCCCATGTCAGCAGTATTAAGATTGAGCTTGATCAAAGGCCATCCTGTTGAATAATGTAAAAACACAAAGAAGGACTTTTAGTCCTACAGAAGAACATTAGCAGTAAGAGCTGTCCGATTAGATAGCATGTAGAAGTTCAGTGATTTTATTATTAATTTTAATGAGCAAATAACATGGCAAATAATAAAAGTAATTTGATTGTATTTGCCAGAAAATTATCTTAAAAAAAAAAAGAGTAACGACTGGTTGTTCAACTGCAGGGAGAAAGGAGTACCTCTGAGCATGGGAATCCTCACGAAAACAACATTCATCCTGGCATTGCTCCCAGGCAGAGCAAGCTGTGTAACTCATCAGGTTTGTAATATAAAAATGATTATGCTTTGCTGCTATAAGCCCAGTGGGTAATAAAATACCTGTATTTCTCCTCCCCTACCTGCAGCTTCATCTCTCCTAATACAAAACATTGCGTTTTTCCTGTTGTGCCCAAATCTTATGACTCTGTAACAACAGGCACTGAACCAGCTTGGCTACTGGCATTAAACCCAGTTTTAAGATGGTTTTTTGTCTGATTGTTTTCATGCTCACTTACCCTATGGTGGGTATAGATGTAGGTCATTCTATCTGTGCTGTGTCAGTGACCACGTTTTGCAAACCCTTGCGTTTGGCACCAAGGGTCCCTGTATATGTACAAAGATTCCTCTTCTCTACAGGACCAGGACACAATTAATATAAGATACAATTAATCTCTTTACAGAGAGAAGAGGCTGTGTTGTGCAGATATGGACTTAAATGCCTAGTTTCTAAGGGAAATTTATATCTCTTGCCCTTGCTAGGTTTAAGAGGTAGGAAATTGCACAAAGGCTGGAGAAAGGGAAAAGGAAAACTTGGCCTTAATTACTCTGTGGCCATTTATAATTTCTTTTCTACATAGTTTTTTTTGTCCCACAGGGGCTGCAGCTTCTAACCCATTGCCTAAGATGAGGAAGTACTGAGTGACACTCGATCAGGTTAGAATGACCAAGCCACAGGGAGGGATAAGGATTTTTGCACTTGCATCACACAGGAGAAAAGGAGACAACATTTTTGTTTCACTTTCACACACTATAAGATGTCAGGCTGTACTTCATTTTAGGATATTCAGTGACAGAATTGAATGCAGAAGTAATGATGCCTCAGTGGGAGATGTACCTCAGTGAAGGATGAATAAAAACTGACTGGAGACACCAGGGTATATGTAAGAGAGAGCCCAGACTGTAGGTGTGGGTATGCAGAGATGAAGAAGGGGATGAGAGGTTTTCTGTCTTCCCAGATGCATTATGTAACACTAGGATATCCTAGGATATACCAAATAAAAAAGTATCTTCTTGTACCACTAGCATTGCTTGGCATTTATGCAGCTGCCATGTGCCTCTCCCTTCAGCATCTGAAAAAAATGAAAAGGTTTCTGAGAAGACAAGTCAAAGGCATGCCTTGGGTGCAAAACAGGTTTTCTCCTCTACCCTCAAATGTGAAGGAGTCAGGTAATCTCCATGTGAGGTTTGCCATGATTTTTGTCAAATATCTGCTATCTTTAGTGTGTACTTTGCCTAATTTCCAAAATACTAAACATGAAAGAATGATGAGAAAAACAAACTTGGCTGCTTTCTTGCCAGATATCTCAATGCTTTTGGGTTTTTCCCCACTATCATTTTGATAGGAACCAGATTGTACAGGTATTAATGTAGTTTAGCAGGCAGAGGCATGACAACCAGGCTTGCAGAACTGTATGTGCTCACACAATGTATAGTCTGGATACTCCTTTCAGCATACTTAAGTTTAGCTGTGTTTTACTGCCATTAATTCTTTACTGTTTCCTACCATGGTGACATGAAAGTCACATCCCCAGAGAGAGGGTTTGAAAGAATTGTTTAAAAAGTGACAGTCTTCAAGTAGGCATGAGGAAATTTTAATTTTTCTTCTCTGGCAGTTTCCACCCAAGAACATGAATAAATTTCTTGAGTTTTACCTCAGGTATTATGGTACCTAAGGCAGGAAGACCTCATGGTCCTTCTCTCCTTGCACACAGTGGTACTGACTTTCAGCCCAGATCTAGTGTTGAGCATTTCTGTGCACTGCAATCCCACTTGGAGCAGGTCCCAGGAGGAGCACACTTCTCTCCACTGCCTGCTTCTTCAGCCACATGCTGAGCAGTTGGGAGCCCTTTCCCCCCACGCTTAGCAGGGGTGAGCTTATAAAACTGAGGTCCAGAAACTGGAGTCTTAATGCCAGGTTTCCCCAAAGGCCATCTGCTTCACTATGCGCTTTTGCAATGCTGTCCCTGATGTCTCCAGAAAACATTGTGATAAACATATACAAAAGGAGCTTGTTATTTCACACATGAAAGTCATCACAAATGGTGTCTGGTTTTCAATTTTTTTGTTATCTTGCTGTAGATATATTGTGAGAAAAAACTTTCTTCAAGCATTCACATTAAATCCATCTCTTAAAGGAAAATAGCTCATTTATCCTGCACAAGATAGAGGCATATAGAGAACAACAGCATTCTGCCTTTTGAGGCATCTCGTATTTTTTGACAGCCTTAGCCCACAGTCTTTGATTAGATAAAGGCCTTAATATTACATTACAGCAGAATTACCTACATTATGGCAGCTGCTTGTTGCAATTGTGTTGACATGACTGGCTTCTTGTGGGAATGTATTTTGGCCTTTCTAATCTCTTTAGCATCAGCAGCAGGACATTTTATTTGCAATTGATTTTTAAATTTAGGAGTAATTGAAGTTTAAGTGCGGTTACCTTCTTGCAACAGGGACAGGTTGATACTGTTTAAATCCTAATTATGCACTGATTAAAAGTGATTGCATTGCCAAAGTGAGCAAGGGCTACAATTTATTTCATTCTTAAAGGCTCAGCATAGAGAATTAATTGTATTTCCAGGAAAACAGATCAACATAAAGAGGAAGCAATTAAGAGTTCATTGTTGAATCATAAATTTCCTAGTAATTTTTGGAAGACAGACAAGATAGACTTAACTTTGAAAGCAGATCTTGTAGACAATGAGGATTAGTCATTTAATAGTTTCAGTATTTGATGATAGAAGCTTTACCTCCCATCGCTCATAATAAGTTTTACTAAAACGGGTAAGGCAGAAATGGGCTTATTTTCACATAAACTAGTCTTGTAGTGATCTGGTGTTTGCTTTGTTTTCAAATTTAATAATGAAATGACAGCCTGCAAGTTGTTCTCATGTAATAAGTAGGATTAACAAAACCAGTTGCACTTTTCCTATGAGCAGGAATCATTTTATAAGCACCATAAAAAATAAGAAAGTGGGAGAGAAACCAGAACAGAAAAATACACTTCTACAACAGTGATAGGGCAAAACCTGGAGCCTGAACAGGTTAGAGCTGGGAGTTCTGGATCTGAGTTTTGTGACTGTCAAAGGCAATTATATGAGACCTGTCTAAATGATTCCATATTTTGGGAAACACTTAGTACAGACCTGTTCCTGTGTATCGTATTACATTTATTATTTATTTAGATCATTTATTTATGTTTGTACAGTGGACTCTGCTGTCGCATCTGATTTCTCATTGATGGAATATCAGCATTCTCAATTAAGTGCAAAGGCAACACATGCCAGAATCATGGTGGAAGTTTAAATGTTTTTTTTTCATCCTGGCTGTAGAGTTTTCTTTCTTTCTCTATAGAAACCAGTGGACTCCTGAATTCATACCACTCTGTTATTAGCAGAGGAAATTTCAGTAACGGACAACAGAAATAGCAGACAGAAGTTACCACTGTGCACTGGCTCAACTCAATGCTGTTTAGACAAGTACCTCACATCACTGCTGCAATGCTAATGCTGGTCCCCCAGGAGACAGAGAGTTCCATTTCTTTTATCAGACTTTGGGAAATCTCCCAGTATTTCAGTCATAGTAGTGCAGAGAACAGTGTCGTCACTGTGTGAGGCTTCACTACGTTGACAATTAGTGGTAAACCACCTCAATATTACCCAGAACTTCAGGAAGACACAAACACAGTTCATTCACAGGTTCCTTCTTCAAGGATGTTAAGTTGTATGAGGTGATTCCAATCTGTAGAGCAACTTTTCACTGGGAGACCACTGTGGTATAGGAGCTGTATGAATTCTGTAGTCTTCTTCACATCACTTTAATGATGGATATGGCCAGTTCACTCAGTCCTTTCCCATTTTTGTGACCACAGAGAAAGACACCAGTTCACATGAAGATTAAGTTTGTTTTAAGCCTGGCTCCTTATGAAAGCAAGGCTCACACATTACCCTGTGTGTCACCTAATGACTTTTGAACCCTTTCAGCCAATGTCTCCCCAGGGAAGCAGAGGAGCTGAGTTGCCAAAATAATTTAATTTCTACACAGTTTGCCAGTTCAATTAAAAACAGCAGCCCAAATTTCATCAACACCATTTTTTCTGCTATAAGGAAAAAAAACCAGAAAAACAGCACAGGAGAATTTTACAATTGCATAAGAAGAATGTAGAAAATCTAGGTTTTATTCCCTTGTGATCCATTCACTGGGAGATGCACTTCCTTAACAAAGCAGACATACAGAAACTTGTATTCTTTTTATCTTAGACTTGTCTATTGGTAGTGAAATCCAGTATCAGGGTTCAAGTCAAAAGAAAAATTCTTGATTAAGAATTAGGGAAAGGCTTGACTCACAGTAATAATGTGAAAAGCAGTCATCAAAAAGTGTGTAGTTTAAGTGGAAAAATTAGATTTACTGGGGTGAGTGAACAGCAAATCCACTGAAATAAAAGCTGATCCAAAAACTCAACAGTTAAATAACACTTCAAGTAGTCCTTCAAGAAGCCACTGTTACTTTGGGTGATTCTGTTGAAGTCAATGTTTTGTCTTCAGACTTATACTGGTAGTATTGGAGTGAAACCACAGGTAATTCTGAATTCTGGTCATGAGTTTAGGCAGCAATTTCTGTCTCCTTAGTGACATTCAATTGTGGCTGAAACATAAACAACTTCCATGTCTCTACTCAATACATGTTTACTGTCCCTAGTAGAATGATTTTTCCCAAACCTTTCTTCAAGCACAATGATCACCTAGGGAACTCAGTGCAGTCCATCCTGGGCATTGGCTCAGGATATTACAAAATAAAAATGACTTTGCTATAATTCCTTTTATGTGCACTGGTCTCTCAATTACATGATTTATAGGACCTTTTGGGTTCAATTTCTGCATTTGAGAAGATGCAGCAAAAGAGCAAGTCTAACACAGGGTGGCGTGTAAGCCTAAATTTCTTTAGGGAATGCTGTTCCAGAGGCCACTGAAATAAGCAGACATTTTTTGAACTGTCTTCAAG